CTCCGCATATATTCCATGGGTTTCGACGGCTCGAAATTTATATTCGATGGATTTGGACAACTCGCAATTGAGACATCTCGAAGACAAAAATTCTTTTTTTTTCGATTAAATTCCGATCCATCGGAAACGACCATTCGAGCGGTTGAAAACTGATAGTAAAAACAACCTATCATCGAGCCCTCGACCCATCGGAAAATTGCAATCCGAGGATCGATTTGAAATTTCGATGCCCAACGGAAGCCAAAATTGACACGTCGAAATACCTATTGGATAGCCAGTTGGTTTCTCTCTTGATATGCACATTCACTATTTTTATGCACAATAACCTATAACAAGAAGTCTTTTATTAAAAAGAAAAAACATATATTGCAACATATCTCATGATTGTATGAACATGAACTAGATAAAGTAAATTCGAATACAAATAATCAATTAATTTTAACCAATTCAGAAAAATATTCATCATTATCATCTTTATTTTTTCCTGAAGTAAATTTAGATGATAACCCATCAGACCAATATGTTCAATATTAATGAAAAGCATCTCTATGTGTATCGCATACTTATGACGCAGAATTTTTTGATCGTGTGAGTTAATCGATTTTATATAGAAAATAACGTGTACAAAATAGTGCAAATTATTTTCAGTTTCACATCAATTATTATGGTGAAATTGAACAAGAAGATTTATTTCTAGCTTCTATTAGATCGATTTCAACAAAAACAAATGGAATAGAAAATAAATTGTCAAGTTTATTTTCACAGCGAATAATAACAAAGATAAACAATTAATTAGGGCTATTATTCGATAAGAATACCATTTTGCATGAAAACATTACGTCATACGAATAATGTTTTAAAAATTTAGTTCCATTTATTGTTTAAAGTTTTTAAGTACTCTTATTTTCAATTATTTATTTCATGAGGAAAATCTTTGCTTTTTCTTCCATCTGAATTAAAAAGATTTATTTGATTTCGGGAAACATAAATGATTTTCTAAAAAGTTTTATTCGAATATAATATATTTGTTACTTTTTATTGAAAAACACAGAATAAAAATTATGATGTATCAGAACTACTCAATGTCGATAATGAAAGACACATTTACAGGTTTTATTTAACAAAGTTCAATTGTCATCTATTCACCATTATGAACTTATTCACATCATCAAAGTAAGAAAACTATATTTATAGACATACGAATTAATTTACTACTTTATAGATTTCGATAACTAAAACAGACAGATAGAGTATTTTCCTACAAAACAACATCCTAATTAATTTACATAGATGTACGCGAAATCACTAGCAAATCTATCAGTAGTATATCGATACAGATGACTGAGTGTTTTTCGGAAAAAGATACACATAATATACCTCTAGGAGATAAGCGACAATTCTTGGTTCCATAAATGTTTAGCTAGAAGTTGGAATCATGTCAAATAACCTTGAGTGAAAAAGCCAACAAAGCGTCTACGAATCCTTCGAGTATGTGTAATGCTGTCGACTGATATTCCGCATCGCTGTACAAAATATAGTGGGATATCATATGTGCTCTTAGCTCCTATCTCTACTTCTTCACTTATTTTCACTTGTAGTATTACACTATTCTTTCTCTTTCTGTTGTTGTATTTGTAAATAAAAATGTTCAGATTTCCTTCAAACATACGATCGTCTGTTGAAAGTATCAAACGAAAAGATTCTCTTTCAATAAACAATGTTGAAATGTAACAATAGTGTTTAAAAGAAGATCATAACTATTTTACTTGGTAATCGGTTAGAAAATAACAGTTTGACGGATTTTCATTCTTTGGAAGCAATAAAAATTCACTCTTGGTTTTTCCTATTTGTTTATTGTCAATCAATACTTGTTTTTGAAATTTGTTTCTAATAAAATTTCTTATGAATCAATTTCTCCTATGATAATAGTCATTATTTATTATCGCAAAGTTCACTTTTCAGTTTTATTTTTTCAGATTCAACAAGTACCAAAGAATGAATTAGACAAAATTATTGTCTTTTTTGCAATATTAAACAGAGTTTTCAAAATTTCATTTTTGACACCAATATCCAAAGTTTTCTGCCTATAAATAGATATCTATTTTTCGAATCTTACCAATAATGTTCTGTCGGAATGAGAAAGTCCAAACGATTCTGCTCATAAATCTTTATTATCGAATTTCGATTTGTTTACTATGTTCTTGACTTAATTATATAACACCTGACAACAGAATCGAAAGAATATATTTTCATCTAAAGTATTGTACGCTATGACATGTGATAATTGACAGAAACAATTATTTTATTGGCAAATAAATGCTTTTGCCAGAACGTCAATCTTTTTTTTGATTTACTTGTCTCTGTAAACAAGAATCTTCCAAAATTACAGTAATGCAGAAATCGAACACTCGACTCGACTCGAAAATTTTTCTTTCGAGTTTTCAACTACTTAATTATTCAACTATTCAAGTATTCAGCTATTCAAATTTGATAGTATTACAGTATTTGCCCTTTCAACTCTTCGAGATTTCTGCTCTCACCCTGACGCTGCGTTGTGTGGTGTGCTCATGAGGTTTTGCCCTCACTCTCAGCCGCAAGATAGTTGAATATTCGAATAGTTGAATATTTTGTTGCATAGTCGAGAACTCGAAACAGTTCTTTGAGTTTTAGATGTATGAAAAAAGCTGCCGCCGTCACGACGACATTATAAAACTTCTTTCCACGCTGCTGCTGCGTCACGATTGCTTTTGAAAAAATCTGCCACTGCCGCAGCGCCATGAACATTTCTTCTATAATATGATCATTCTCGCAGGATTCCCAGCATGTGTATATGTGATTATGGGTATAGAGCTAGTTAACGACGGTAGTTTCTGTAACAATTGATGGCTATTTACTAGAGCTGTCAAATCATCCTAAAATATTAGAAAAAACAAAAATCATTGGTCATTATGGCTTAGTAAAGCGATACAGCGGTGCCGTCACTGTATATGACTATTATCATAGGATTTCTGATATTAGTGTATCCAATTATTCTTTCAAAGCAGAATAACTGTCTGTAGAGGGCTGCAGGTTAAGCAGTTTTGACAATCTGTAGCCTGCCCTGCTGATATTTCGGCAACCTGACCCTGTCCTGCCCTGTGAATTTTTTCGCATATTCTGCCCTGCCCTGTCCTGAGATTTATCTCAATAACCTTTAACCTTCCCTGCCCTGCAATGTTTAAAATTAGAGTAAAATCTAGATTTGATTTATCAAGACAATTTTTAACATAATAACTAATGGTAGAAGTTCCATTAGATATTGAATATGATAATATCTCATTGCATAAAAGGTTGATATTCATTACTGGAACATTTAATACGTTATAGGTGTTCCCAAAACGAACCATGTGATGAAGGTGGTCCCTCTTTAGCTGGAAATGCACCATTTTTCAACTTTTCTACCACCTCCTTTTTTCTTTCCACATCTTTTTTTTTGAATTTGACATGAATGATACTTCAAAAGTAGGAAAATCCGACTAATCTCGATAAATATATGTAAAAGATTAATTGATTATGTTGATGATAATAATAGAGACAATAATAAGATAAAATTTAAAATACTAAACATATATTTCAATAGTTATATGTATAAAAAATAGACTAGCGATACATATTTTTCTGTTGGATATCTGCAATAGCAATCTAATTTGGTTTTCTGTTTACTTTTATTCTTTTCTTTCTGTATAATTTTATAAAAGATATCGACAATATCTAATGTACAAAATTTATCGCATGTTGACAGGTTACGACATGCGTACCCTGCAACCTGCTCTGTAAAAAATGTTGTAACCGGCCCTGTCCTGCCCTAACAGGGCAGGGCGGGCAGGGCAGATTATCTACAACTTGCAGAGCTCTAACTACCACTTAATCTACTGGTTCTCAGTCAGTTGGCACTGAATAACTCCTATAACAAGGAGCAGACCTCGACACACTAACATCGGAATCGTTTGTTACTCTCAAAGCACTTTCATTTTATACTGATTCCAGAATGGGAAAAATCTAATGATTTTTTTATCAGATCCTTTAACAGCGTCAATAGAATTATTTTCACCATCACTTGAACAAAGAAAAAAACGAAAAAATGGAAACACATCAACCACACTAATAAAAAAAGGAAAAGCATTGAGAAGATGGAGATGGCAATGATGATGTCTCATAAAATGATCTTGACAATATCACTTTCGAAGATAATGATGATGAAAAACAAAATAATAGTTGTAATGATTGGATTACGATTTAGTTAAGAATAAATCAAATTGTCTATTTTTTGTTGATAGAAATTTGTTATTTTCCTGTTAATGGTATATGAATAAAAATAGTTATCAAAAACGAACAGCTATTATATAGAAATATTCTTATTTTATTAAAATAAGATAGAACAAATTTAGGAAACATCAGTTTTTTAACTTCATTTCCATTCCCAAAGTCTAAATGGGAATTCTCATTCCCATTCTCTTGGGAAAGGAATGGAAAAATTAGGGGAAAAAAAGTCGTTCCCCCAGGACACTATCATGCTCAGTTTTTCTGAACTATTGAGTAGATCATGTCTGTTAACGAGACAACTGATAGTTGTCTTTGTAATATCCAGAGAGTTCTCTTTGTGTGAGAAAAAATAACTAATCATCTTCAAAAAATTGAAGAAAAGTATTTCACTTTTGTACAGTCAATTCAATTCCGCGAAAGATTGAAAACTGCTTGTAAAAACAATTAACCAGGTAGAAAAGCATAGTGGAGGAAAAATTTGACCGAGAGAAAAATTTCCAGCTACTCTTTATGTTTCTAATTGTATGTATGGATAATAAGAACGAAAGAGAAAGAGAATAAGAGTGTTACTCATTTATTCATAATCAATTTCGACTGAAGAGAAGAATATCATTGTTCTATTTGACGGGTAAGATCAAACAGAAGAAATGAGAATGGATGAAATATAAATTAAGAAACAATTCAATGTAAAGATAAATATGGAATGTTTACGTGTTGAATTATTTGACTTACCTGATGAGATATTTTTAATGATTTTCAAGAAATTGGAAAATGTCGAAATACTTTATTCTTTAATGGATGTTAACATGCGATTCAATCAGATTGTATCTGATTCCATTTTCACTACTCAAATAACATTAATGAAACAACGCTCATCGATGGAACTTACATCTTCACTCCCTAATATAGTACTCGATCGATTTTGTTTACGAATATTACCAAAAATTCATGACAATATTAAATGGCTCAAACTTGAAACATTATCTATGGAACGTATTCTTCTTGCTGCTAACAACTATTCTAATTTATGTCAGTTGGATATTTTTATTATGAATAAAGAAACTGATATGCACTTATTTACTGGTAAGTTATTTGATTGTTATAACCATTTTAATTATTTAGTCGTGGATAGACATTAAAAATTACGTAGTATATATTTGTTTGACATAAAATGAACATATTTTCCTCATATATTCATTAACATATGTGGCATTTAAAATGTGACCAATAAAATATCTTATGGATTTGTATTCATAGAAAATGAAATATTTCAAAATATCATTTAAAGCTTCTTATATCGAATGAGTCATGTTCGCAATTCACTTATAAGTCACCCGACAGCAAAAATAGTACATAGAGGGAGATATATGTTGCTAAAAACGACTTCTCTCTTTTCGTCACCTTCTCTTTTTCCAAGAAGCTGCTCGTCATCGACAAGTCATATCGCTTCATTCCTTTCATCTTTTATTTTCTGTGATTTTTCTCTCCCTTCATCAACATAAGTTATCTATTCTATTGCAGAATATATATACTATATGAACGTCCTAAAATCACAATCATATATAGAAAACAAATCGAACATAAGATATTTTTCCAGTAAAATATAACATAATAATAATCTTATCATATTACTTTACAGAAACTCTATTGAAAAATATACATGTACTCTTAACAAACAAAAAAAGAATTTAAGAAAAAAAATGATCAGATTGTTTTTTCTATTATGTTATATTTCACTGGAAAAATATCTTATGTTCGATTTGTTTTCTTCTATATATGATTGTGATTTTAGGACGTTCATATAGTATATATATTCTGCAATAGAATAGATAACTTACGTTGATGAAGGCGGAGAAAATAAAAGATGAAAGCAATGAGCGATATGACTTGTCGATGACGAGCAGCTTCTTGGAAAAAGAAGATGAAAAGAGAGAAGCCATTTTTAGCAACATATGTCTCTCTCTATGTACTATTTTTGCTGTCGGGTGACTTATAAGTGAATTGTGAACATGGCTCATTATTTTCATTGCTATCTGTAAAATAGATTATGATCATATAGTGCAGTTAGATAAGAGAATGATAATCAATATGAATGTTTACTTTTTACGACGACAAGTAATCGTTCACATAAATGATGCTTAGAATTAATAATGTTGAAAATTGAAATAGAAAAGCAGAAATGATCTTAAGGAAGAAAGAGTAGCATAGTTTTATGTCTAACTAACAATTCTTCGTCATTTAACTTGTATAATGGAAAGAGAATATTGTGGAACTAACTATTTAACTTTTACTAAAAACTGCTGAATAACATTAAAAATAAATTTGTGCATCGGATGAAAAATATCTGTGCTCTTTATACAATAAACTTTGACAAAACAAGATTGGCGAAGAAAGAGTGTTGATAGATTTATTCTTTCAATCAGAAATATTATAAATGATACAGAATGAGAATATATAACATATGTAAGAGTTGTTCGAAAAGGAAAAAACAAGAATGATTTATTAAAGAGAAATAATATGTTTTATATTTATATTTAGACAAATCACCTCTAATTAACATCTTTCAAAATCAAATTGTGATACTGAGTATTAATGGGAAAGAAGATGTGTTACTAAACCATTCGGAAATCAATCGACCAGGAAATATTTTTATGAATATGTTGATTATGTGTGATAAACTTCGTCATTTCAAATTTTATACATCAGTACCTCCAGGATGTGGATATATATCATTCGGTATACAATCTCCAATATTTTCTTCATCTACTCTAGTAGAATTACATATGACTATGTATCGTTTCGATGAATGTCTTTTTCTACTCGATGGTCGTTTGAATCAACTACAGACATTGATTGTGACTACCTTTCATATTCTTCCTTTGCAGAGAACAAATATCAGCAAGGTAAATTACTTTTCGAAAAACAAAAATATTTATTGTTAAATGAGACCATTTTTTTCAAAGATCAATATTAATTTCTTTATCAAATAATCATATGATTCTTTTCACTTTAGGAAAGATTACCAAATCTAAAAAATTTTTCTTTAACTTGTATTAGTGATACATTTCTTTATGAGGAAGTAATTGTGACACATTTACAGCGAATGATTAATCTGGAAAAATTAGCTTTATATTTTGTGAGCTATTGCCACGAAACATTTATCGATGGAAATAATTTAAATAACAATATTATAAGTTATATGCCTCACTTGAATCAGTTCATATTCAATATTCGATCAATGGGTGAGCTTACCGAGTTAATATATTTACCACTAAATGAAGATATTCAGCTTACATTTACAAGTTTCAAAGACCATCGAGTTATTACTTGTGTTGATTATTTTCCAAAAGAAGGATATGGTCAATGTCATATTTACTCATGTCCATATACATTAACGGATTATGATAATATAACGAACAATTTTTCAGGGGGATTATTCAATAGTGTTCGAAAAATAACATTATTTGATGAACGTCCTTTTGAACATGAATTTTTTATTCAAATTTCTCAATCATTTCCTTTTCTGAAAGAATTAACTATATTTAATTCAGAACCACAACAATTCAAACAAGAACAAGAGTCAAATAGTGACAACCGAAAATTTTCAATTATTAAATATTCTCATCTGACGAAACTTAAACTTGTACGTGTTCATGATGATTATGCTGAACAATTTTTATTTGACACAAAAACATGCCTATCAAATTATATTCGATTGTCAATTGATTATGATCGATTGCAACGTGTAACACATAGTTTCACAAGAGATGCAACACGAGGCAACTGTTCAAAAATAAAAAAACTTTCCTTGTATTATTTTATACAATTACCTGAATATTATAAAAATTACTTTCCTCATCTCGAATAATGATTATTGTTTTGTAAATAATATGAAAACTAACTAAAATAAAATATAAATTAGAAAAAGGAATTGTATAATTGATTGATCAGTTTTATAACTTGAAAGAATAGAGGTAATATTTCTACGTATTTTTTTATTTCAACACGATTTTACATGCATAGAAGAAACAATGCATATTGGAGTGCAGAGAAATAATTGTTATAAAAAGAGTCAATTCGTAAGTAGGCGAGAGATGTGTATATTCTTCTCATCTATCGATTCCTGTCATCACTGAAGCCAAATGACTTTCTCAAGATCGCAGTGGATATGATTGATTAAATAGTAAGATTCAAATTAAATTAAGAAATTTCTACACAAACCTAATCCGATCTATCATTTATTCTTCTACTTGATGCTACTGCTGTTTTAAAAATTAGTTCTGTCTATATCCAAGTGTCTCCACGTCAAATTCTAGTCTGTTACGAAATAATTTCTCCAAAGACTATACATATACGACCAAGATATGGCTTTTTATTATTTATGCCACGAATTGAGTATGAGTATTTTTGTTTTTGTTGGAAATCGATATTTTGTTATGAGTTACAATTTTTAGAATTCTCTTAACAATTATCTAATCAAAATTACATCAAACTCAGTTTTTAAAATTTACGGCACATTTAATACTCTGAACAATAGTAAAATATGAAAAAGTAAGATTTATAAATCATTAATCTAACAGTAGTTACCAGAAATGTTTCAATTTTTCATTTACAGATAAGATATTCATGAAAAGATAAAAAAATCTGATTTTTATTATTTTCTAATCATTTTTTTGGTGATTTTCAGTGATTTAAATATATTATAAACGTACTTTGTTTGATCAAATGAGACTTATATTTTAATTATCATGCATTTTCATAACTACCAATAAAACAGTATCTCACTCTATATCTGAACAATAAATCAATTTCTTAGAAATAGAGATTGCTGTTTTGATGGAAAATTGGATTAGCGTAAAAGTGTAGATTTTCATTTTCAATTTATTCTTATAGCATTTTTCAAATCACACAGTTAATCGTCTTAAATTTTTATTGAACCAATATAAAAAGTTAGAAATCAGTCTCGTTTATATTTCAAATATCTTTGTTAAAATACTAAACTTATGTGATGTTTTAAAGTCATTTTTTTGGTTTGGTCAATAAGATATCGTTTTAAACTCAAAAATAAACGACATTTCAAACTTTAAAAAATAAATTGTTCAGTAGGAATTCATCTATTTGTAAATATGTGGCTTTCAAACAAAATTGAAGTAATCATGATACGAAAAAAATTGGATGAGACACTGTAAACTTGCATAATTGAAATATTCAGTACTAATCAAAAGTAGTCACAGTGCCGACATTAAACATCATTAAAAGATTAAATTCTAAACATTTGTGTGTTGATACTCTATTGATAAAATCTGAATGTCAAGGTGATAGGTCAACGAGTACAAATCCCGAATAAATTTTCGATAAAATTTAAACTTATTGTTCTATTGTAGAGAGGATCATTATTATGATTAACAAATGATGATTCTGTATCATCATCATCAGGTGTAGGTAGTATTGATGTTGATCAAGTATCATCACATGGAACAATTTCATCAAATGGTGTCTCACCATCAGGTACAAATCGTGAAGATTATTTTGTAAATTAATCAACATATGAAAATGAACCAGTTGTTGAGAATCTTCATGCACTTCAATCAATATTTGTTGATTCATTATCAACTGTTCATCCAAATGTTCAAAGAAATTTAGAACAAATACTTCAAATAAATCAACAACAACCACAATTTGAAAATCGTTTATTTTATTTTTTAAGAGAAAAATATTTTTTTTTTGTTAGCATATACAATCTTGATACGTCAAACATCAGTACCACCATTTGGACAATGATCATCACCAGACCGTAAATCTTAATAATAAATAACAAAAAATAAAAATTTACTAAAAAAAATCTAGTTCAATATTCTCCTCCATCATTATTAGTAACATATTCAAGTACAAATAGTGGTGGATCAAATAATGGTAATCATAATCGGTCAACAACATCATTTTCAGGTGTAACACAAAGTTCAACAATTGATATTAATTTAAATGGTCTTTTTCAAGCATCATTAATACGTCGTATGGAACAATCAATGCAAGTTCGAGCAAAATTTGGTTCATTAGGAGGACCACAAGAATGTCAATTTAATGTTCCACATGGTTTTTGTCTTGGTATTCATGAAGAAGCAATTGTTGCGAATAAAAATAATCATCAAATACAAATCTTTGATAAAAATGGTCAATATAAATATCAATTTGGTATGCCGAAAAAAGAAGAAGGACAATTATGGTATCCAAAAAAAGTTGCTGTTTATTACAAGTGAGGGAATATTTGTTATTTATGATGGAGGAAACGAAAGAAGTAGAATGCAAATATTTACAAAAAATAGACATTTTATTAGGAAAATTTCTATTCGTTATATTGATATTGTTGCTAGTTTAGCTATTACACAACAAGGTTAGAGGTTTTTTCCTTCAATATTCAATGAAAATGATTTATTTATTTTCTAGGAAATATTCTTGCTATTGATTCTGTATCACCAACGGTTTTTTGTATAAGTAATGAATATTTTATTTGCGATTTTAACGTATTTTAAATTATTAATAAGAAAAATTTAAAGAGTGAAACATCGCTTTTTAAATGAGATGAATAGTACGCAGATTTGTTTAGATGCCAATCTTTACACCATAGCGATCAGAGATTAAAGATAAACTCAAATTTTTTAGAGAACATTATTTGCCTCTTCGTCCCCTTAGATGCGCGCTCGTACTTAGGTTCTGATGAGCAAGTTCCCGTTCTTCATAATTATACATTTGTTACCTAGAAAGCTACTATAATTAAGTGGTTAAGTTGTTCGGCACGTACTACTAAAGTACTGTGTTTGGTCCTCGATGTCATCAGATATAGAATGACCTTCTAACGTCTGTTTGTTTAGGATCATCCGTACGATAGTACACTGACTACGTCGTGACATACATCAATTCTTGTTGCTAATATGTTGTTAATTAGTTTTCTGTCGGAAGCTAAAGTGATTGAGCGGAAAAACTTTGAGTCAGGTCGACCCTCTGTACAGAGCTATCACTAGGATGATTGCAGGAAAGGTCTCAGGCTTTCGAAACTGTCTCGAAGCAGTACCAACACCGTTAAGTAGCTGAAAGGCAGAGTATTGTTCTTCTGATTGTCTACAAAGCTGCCAGCCCAACTTTTGTAGAATAGAAATATGAAACAGATAATAGAATAGATTTTACGGGCTGTAGGAACATGGAAAAAGCTCACCCAATACTTTAACACTACTTTCCGTTGATGTTGAACGAAAACTCTGCAGAAATCTTCTAGATAATATCCATATCAGTGTTGATTGGTCGTACTTATTCTTTGAGTCAATTTCTATAGATCAAAGTTTCCGAGCTCGGGATTTCGTCATTGGAAAGAGCGTACTCCAAGTTGTCTAATTGTATAGCATTTATGTGTTTTTCATACGAAAGTGAATTTCTTGACCTAGATCCCACGCTAACGACGAGTTGCATTCTTTCAATTGATTATTTAAAAATGAGTTTGTAATATCAATTTAACTCCTCCTCTAGATCTGTCACTGGTTTTTTATTTTGAAAGAACTTAAAAATAGCTTTGTATTTGTTAAGGGGCATTATGTCATTGTATTTGATGAAGATGAAACATTTTTATGACGTATTGGTTCGGAAAGTGTAACTAACTTTCCAAACAGAATTGATATAGATGATGCCGGTAAGACTAAAAATTATTCTCTATAAAAAAAAAAAGTTGCTGATTATAATTTACAGATGATGTAATCATTGATGATTCACACGGAAATCGTTTTCATATAGCTGTATTTACACGTACAAGTGATTTTTTACAAGAATTTCATTGTCCATATGTGAAAGTTTCACGTTGTTGTGAATTAAAAATAACATCGGATGGTTTTATCGTAACATTAACCAAAAACAATCATCATGCACTTGTTTTAAATAGCCTTTATTTAACATAAATTGTCATATTTGTTTTTTGTTGTTGAAAGTGAATAGTCGTGTGAGAAATGAGCTCAAGTCAAAGATCATAATTGATTTTGAAGAAAAACTAGTGGGACCATTCTTTTTTTTTGTTTTTTATTTTCTAGGTATGTTCTTTCTGTTGGTGTGTTAATTCCGGTTAAGGAATCTCGCTCAATCCTTACCCATTTATTCTATATTTTCTATTTTCTTTTTCTAAAGGCATTTTTTGTTTCGCATCATGATTGGCAGATATTAAATTGATTTTCTATTATATGTTGAAGAGCATATGTGTTAGCCTCTTCCAACATCTTTTTTTTTGTGTTTTTTTTCGTTTCGAGTTTTGCAATATGAGAGTGGTCAGCTCGTTTTTTTTTTCGATGTTCTCTTTATCTTATTTTCCTATTCTGTTTTTTTTCTCTTGTATTCGTTTTTTTCTTCTTATGCTCTTGCTCTTGCTTGTGCTATTCATTTAAATACATATTAACACTTTACTCAAGGTAACAATGGAATTAAATTTAGAATTTAAATTAAATTCTTTTTAAAAGTAGATTGATCCTTAAATTTGTAAGAAAAATCTATTTATATTTAATGAAATGATGAACTATCTAACTGTGATAAGAAATGTAAGCAGAGAGAATAAATTAATTTATAGATGAATCAAATATACTGTTTCTTGATCTTTTTTTCGCTTTATTGATCAAATGATTTTTGAAACTATGTTAGAAGAACCACTATGATACAGTAGTACAAGATTGACCTATCAATCTTATTCGTGATAAATGAATAGAATCGATGTGAGCGATGAAAGAAAGACATGCAAACGAATGAAAAATGCGCTGAATTGTAACAATGATTTTTCGATGATGGTAAACATGTAAAGAATGACAATATATATTTATAAAATATAACTTTCATCAAGCTTATATTTATTAGAAAGAGTGTTTTAGGTATATAAAAAAAGGTACAAAAAATGTACAAAATAGCCTATTTATTTTTGAATTCAGAGTCAATGTCGGCTATGAAATCATCGAAATTTACAGTAGTTTACTAAATTTTTTCCTTTAAAGTCATCCTATACTTGACCCTATTAGACAACTTTTAAATGTTTTCGTAGGAAAATGGACTAGTAATCAAGTGACATCGCAAAAAACAAATAAGCGAGAAGCCATTAAGGAATATCCAACGTCTATGTTTTGTCTAAAGCTTTATTAAAACAACGAAAGTAGTAAATGTAGCAAATCTATTCTCTTGGATTTTGAATCCTTAGAAAAGTCTGAATCATTTCTTTAACAAGGATGCATAAAAGTAATCACGTGTGCGAATACTCTATATTTAAAGATTTTTTGTTTTTCGTTTGAAAAGATTGCAAATATCATATTTTTATGGATGAATTATTCATGAACAGCTATACTAAATAATGATCATAGAAAATTTTGACTCGTCTTATTTTTAACACATCTATATTATCATTCTCACGTTTAAAAATATCCATCATAGATCAGTATTAAATAATTAAAACAACGCGTCAGATCAACTTGATTTATTCAGTATAAAACAAGATTTTTACAAAGGATTATTTATCGCAACATCTACAAACTAAATAAATTGTTGTTGCTCGAAATATTCTACTGAACCATCAAAATATGATCAGACGATATTAAATTTTTCTTTTAAATGAAATACATTAGTTGAAGTCCAACAGCAAGATATAAGCTTATTCCCCTTTGAAGTTAAATCAATGGAACATGTGAACTTTTCATCTTGTGCATGTTTCTTGTCTATAAGTACAAAGATAATTAACACACTTCGCTGGTCGGATATTGAAGTCGAGGTGGATGTTTTCGTCCACGTCGTTTCTATAAAAAAAAAAAGAAAGATATAGGACTCACGAGGGAACATATTTGAGTGTCCTCCCTGAGAACCAGTCTAAAACCATTCTGTTCTTGAAAGAACTTGATGAATATATCTAATATCAATGTCTTAGCTGCTTTCATTTCGATCTGCAAAAATTCGAGAAAAAAAACTTTGTTATTTTCATGACATTTTCTCCTATCGTAGCTGTATCATATGTTCACTTGTATAAGATTTACAAGGATGATTATTTTTTAACAGAAGAACCATTGAAAATAGGCAAGATCTAACATGAAGAAGACGTTTATCTGTCACCAATAACAGCATTACATGTATAATTCTGTTCATTTCCGATGGCTCTTCAATTAAAAAAAAATGATCATTCTTGTAAATCTTATACAAGTGAATATATGATACAGCTACGATAGGAGAAAATGTCATGAAAATAAAAAAGTTTTTTTTCTCGCATTTTTGCAGATCGGAATGAAAGCAGTTAAGACATTGATATTAGATATATTCATCAAGGTCTCTCAAGAATAGAATAGTTTTAAACTGGTTCTCAGAAGGGATACTCAAATATGTTCCGTCGTAAGACCTAAAAAAGAAACAATAATATTTTATTTCTTCTAACACAACCGTGTAAACGAAACGAAAAATTTGACTAAGTCAATCCTTGATCGCATTATAGATCTAAGAATACAACAAATTTCAATTAATCAATAGTGCTATATGTGTTATTGTCTCATTCTAAAATTGAATATATAGTTTAAATTAGAGACATTTTATATATCGAACAACCGTCAACTTTGAAAAATTCCTTAGTTTCATTGTCAATTATAAAAAAATCTGTTTCCATATTGAAAATCTAATAATCTATTGTAATGGAAACTTCTTTATAACGAACTGCTGAAAGCAATGAGATAAGCATAGCAATTATTTTCTATTATCCTTAATGGGAACATGTCTGGAAGGAGGAGAAGCCGCAGAAATCTTGATATAAAGTTACGTTTGCATTTCTAAAATAACAAATAACGTTCATCAACAGTCGATTCCCCCTGTCCTAGACTGAAGGAATAACTGTACGCATATAGTTGCATGTAGATATCAACGTACATTAACGAATTTGGGCGACACATCAACATTATAAGATGTAGGAGTTGCTTTTCCTTAAAAAAAGTTTGAGAAAGAAATAGTAAGTTATTACTTTTCCTAACTATAGAAGAACATATATAATTGAATGTAAATTTGTTACTCAAGGAAAGAAGATATACTACATGAAGGAACCAAGAACATCTGCGATAAGTGTCATGGACTATTATGTATACAAACGTTCTGTTGTTTCATTTTTCACATCTTTTGATTCGATATTCCTTTTTTGAAACAAAAATGTATTTGTATTTAATTATAGAATTATAACGATATTGTTGATAACAATGGTTAATTTCAATCGTTGTGACCATAGATGATCTTTCTTAGTCTGCTACACTGTCTTTTGAAGTATAACTATCAACTGGTCATTTTTACTCTAGTTACCGAATGATCATAGTAATCATGTTACAGACACAAACAGAGAGATATAAGTGAATTTTCAGTTGTTAGATTCTATCTTTATAATCTAGGTAATATAAACTTTGACGTATTTGATAAATGATCTGAATAATTGCTTCAACTAAGATAATTAAATTATCTTTTTCTTCCATGTCATCTAAAACTTCAACAATAAAACATATAATTAATGATTGACATATAAATCAGTGTCTTTCAGCTTTCAATTGAAACCGAAAATAGAATGTATGGTTAATAGTATCATTAAACGAATACACATCGACTCCTCATTTCTTTCTGTCTTTATTGATTAAGAGGCATTGGAAATGACTGTTTGCAGATGAAATCTTTTCTTCCCTCCTTCCAGCTTGTATAATGCATCGACGACAAATGTACAACATATTGAGACAGCCGAAAAAAAGAAGAAGAGAAGATGCGACGCAAAATGAGGATGTATTTGTATGTAAGTATTGCAAGACGAGCCAATGTATTGTTGAGTATATACGTGTTGATTGAGTTGTAGAGACAACGATGAAGAGAATAAAAGCCATATGAGATGAGAGGTGACGGTAATACGACGAGACAATCAAGAACAAAACGACAACAACAACATTCACTCTAACTAATAAATCAAGAATTTATACTAGTCTTCTAATATATAAAAATGACTGATGTAGAGAAACAAAATGATGATGAACCAGTAGTAGAAGAACAATATCAAACAACAGATGATAATATATCATCATTGATCGAACAAATATATGAACAACTAGTATGTATTTTTCTATCCTATTAATTAGAATATTGTTAAAATACTAGATTAACTTCACAAAAGCTTGGAGAATGTCTTTCTTATACATATTTGCTTCTGTAGGCTTTTCGAATCTTTTTGAAAATAATAATTTCTATTGAAGAAACTATATATATGTACATATGTATCATAAAGATAAATAAATACAAGAGTTTTGTTTTTTTTAAAATTCATTTGATCCATCATTGACTATGTTTATCATTATAGAAGAGAATCATAGACATGATTGTCTATCTATTATGTAGAAACTAATGGTTATCAGGTGCTTATCAAACATCAACAAAATAAAAGAAGAAGATAACGATATTTCTTTTGTTGATCTAAAAAAAACGGTTAATGGATTATTTTTTTTCTAAAATAAATCTTATCAATAAAATCTACATATACAAATTACAAATTTCATTAACTGAAAAATTTTTTGTTTAGATTCGTATGCGTCAAGATGACCTTGAATTGACAGAACAATTAACATCTCTTTACGATGATCTATGCAATCTTCGACAAATACTTACAAATCCTCAAATAAACTCCAATAGAGACATTACAGATATACCAATTCATATCGATTCTTCAAAATCAACTTCTTTTTATTCAAAACAACGTTCAGACAGTGAACCAAATATTTTAACTGATCGTTTACGCCTAATTACAATAATAGATGACTTACAATAAATATAAATACGGTGAGAATATTGAATGATATTCTTAAGTTAAGTTTTATCTGAATATATTATATTATTCAAGAATAAATTTTTTTTTTATTATATTCTAGTCAATATAGAACTTTTTTGAAATTTATTTCACTGATTCATTCATACTAACAGAAAATATAAGATTTTTATAAAAAAAAAAAAAAGAAGTCATAGTTTACTTAAAATCAAACTTACTATTTGTTCAATAGAATCTTCAACTGATTGAATAAGATGTTGATCATAAAGTGAATGAAAGACTATATACTTAAATGAATAGTTTTTGAAGACAAAATCAACATGTTAGTATTCAAAAAGCAATATGAGATTAGATTTAAGTTGAAGAAAAACTTTATCAAAACAAATTTTCAAATTTTATTATACAATAGAAATAATCAAGAATAATATTAACAAATTTGAATAAAAAGAATTATAAAAATTTTAACAAGTATGTTTAGATGAACATGATTGTAATATTGATTTGTTTGATTCAATTAATTGAACTAAAATGATCGTGATGAAATATTTCTGAAATCAGATTAAAAACAAACGATTTCCATTTTACACATGACTACTTAATTTCATTAGAGTATTAATGATTTCTCTATATAAATCAAGATGAGATATGACTTTTTTTTTTGACAAGAAAACGCATGTTTTTCATTGATAACACTTTTTTGATTTCATCATTTGTGAAACTGTTGGTAGTAGGATGATATTTAAAACAATCAGCTATTTATTATTCCATTAAAAATTATCTTGAAATTCAAAATGATGATAACGTAAACATCGATGCGATGAGAGAAATAAATTTACAATGCTAAAAATAATTCATATTAATATATTCAAAGAAGATTTCAATAAAATTTATCGAGTAATATTTGTCCTATAGAGCATGAAATGAACCGGCGATCGTAAGCATAACAATATATTAGAAAATCAAAAATGTAATATCGGATCAATGCTTCGCCTTCGATTAATTGAAAAAATGTAGTTTTATCGGTTATTGTGTTCGATCGATTTCTCTATGTTGATCATACAAACAACTGTTGAAATAATTGGGTCAAAAACAATGCTTAATCATTTGGATACAAAAGCTAGTTGCTATCTGTTGATGATTAAGCAATAATTACAGTCGTAAAAGACTTTAGAATTGATAGATTAATCTCTCTTTTCATGATATACGTAAAAAGGAGACATCTATTAAATAAAATTCATATGTCATTCTTTCTTTTCTTTTTTTTTAATTTCTTTCTTTTAAATGAAAATTGTTTTTTTCTTCTTCTTCTAATAATTTTTCATGTGAGCGAGAAAATAATATTATTACAGTTTTTTTTTTACAATTTTCTTTTTTCATTACTCTAACAGAAGAAAAAAAGAAAATTTTAAAGTAGAACAGAATGAAAGAGAACAAGAAACGAGAAAAAGAACAATAAAGAGTTCTCTGCTATGCAACGTGATGGACGTCGATAGTGACATGTATGGAGTAGACAAGAACAGCTTTGTCGAAAGCTCCTATCAAGTGAACGATGATATATCAATTCCTATTTATGCTGATGTACAACTTTATCCATGTTCAAATTGCGGTCGTAACTTTAATACTGAATCTTTGGTAGAGAAAATTTTCAGTTGTCAAAAAAAGACATATATGATGACTCATTTTTGTTATTTTCTAAATTATTAGCGTAAACATCAACCGATTTGTAGAAAAACTTCCCAAAAGCAACCGCGAAAAGTTTTTGACACGGGTAAACAACGTGCTACAGATTCTGATGTGCCTTATACAGCAACCAAAGAAACTACACAGGTTTGATAAATACCTAAGAAGAAAAAAAATCAACAAATTTTTCAAAAATTTACTTACAAAACAAAAAGAATTTAATTATTTTATAATAAATTTTAGTTTTATAATGAAGGTATTAAACCTAAACAGAATAATCAGAAGAAAAGGCCAAGTAATTGGAGAGAAGGTCATAATGCATTAGTACGTACAATTCGTGAAGCTCGACAAATAACACAAGCCATGGAAACCGGTGCCCCATTACCAAAACAAACACCATCACAAATTCCAAGTGATTATGTTCAATGTGAATATTGTCAACGTCATTTTAATAAACATTCAGCTGAACGACACATTCCTTTGTATGATGTTTTATTATTATTATTATTATTTTGTTTCTGTTGAAATCATTTAATCTATTTTTAAATTAATAATCAGTTGTGAAACTCAACATAAACGAAAACAGATGCAATATGCAGCAGCAGCAAATAATACGCGTAATGCTGGTGGAAGTATAGGCCGACAAGGACGAGTAAATTTTCTATTAATAATTGAAAAACACTTTTGTTTTTGTTATATAGGCATATCAACAGCAGTATAGTGAGTCAATAGGAAATAGTTCGTAAAGAAAAAAAAATTTCTTATGAATTTTCAGGTTTTGACTCACCTAAAGGAAGTGCTAATAAACAACATCAAATTAATTCAGCACCTTCTACTTTTGCATCAAGACGTCCTCAAAAGTAACTTATAGGATATAATTATTTTTTTGTCAAATTTACATGAAGAACGGAAATTTTAGAACCAATGATGAAAAAGATTATCGAAGACCACCATTAAATCCAAATGCATTTAAAAAAACTCATTTTGGCGAGGTATTTAACACAAAAAATAAAATAATAATAATTTATCAAAAATTATTATTTTATAAAATACAAAATCATTGTGATTTATTGTTTTAACATGAAATATAGAGATTATGGATTAAGTAAAGTTATACAGATATAGACAAATAAGTAGACATACAATAATACCAATAAAAATATCAAACAAAGATATAAAGTGTTCATTTTTTAATACATTCTTGAATAATATCTGTTGATAAGTCATTCGATGCTTCATTGAATACATTGTCTAACGTATCTTGTGACTTGAGATTCTTTTTGTTTTAGTATTTTCTGTACGTGACAAAGTATCATATTAGTTTAATAGTTTTAAAATCAGGACTATAACCTGATGGTTTATACAATGTTACAGTCACAAGTTGAACTAGAGAATTTACTCAATGAAACATAAAATCATCTATCAATTAGAAAAAAAACAAATTCAAACGCTATATGAACATTTTCTATCTTCGTTTGATATTTTTATTTGTATTATTGTATGTCTACGTTTGTATTATCCGCCTATACCTGCATAACTCTATGTAATCTAAACATGTATCGAGCCCGAGTAGCTCAGGTACATACTCTAGTCTAAAGTATATAACTTGATATGTTGTTGGTCCATGATATTCTCTTCAAATGTTCTTTTATTTTCATTCAGCTGAGTAACAGATGTATCTTTTCCCATTGACTTTCTTTACATAAATCCGCATAGAGAAACAGTCAATATTCATGTTAAAACTCAACATATTTTTATTGCCAGTGTATAGAAACTACAAAATATATCGAGACTGATCGAATTCAAGCTCGGTACAAGCTCTAATTGAATCCATAATCTATATATTTCATGTTAAAAAGAATGAATTACAATGATTTTATCATTGATAATTTAATTGCTAGACATCAACAAATAATATAAATGGTACACCACCTAAATATGGTAGTTACCGAACAACAAAAACACGTAGTGCAACAGGTACTCATCTACCTGGTATGATGCGTACAGGTCGAACTATTGAAAATGGTGATTTAAATATAATGGCAGCAACTGGACGAGGACAACAAAAACCTGATGCTTCACCACAAATGCAACGACGTGCAACAGGACTCAAAACACGATCACCAAGTCCAGCACGTCGACCGCCACAAGTTGATGGATTTTTACAGCAACAACAACAACAACAACAAAAAACACGTGTGCCTACAGCAGCAAAACATTGTCATGAATGTGGTGAAGCTTTTCCTGTTGAATGGGCGAAATTTTGTTGTGAGTGTGGTGCAAAACGTTTGGGCCTTTAATTTTTATTTGTATTTGTGTATTTTATTCGATTATATGCTGTATATAAATTGCAAACTACGTGCAAATTTTGCTTTTCTTTTTATAATCAAATGTTAAGAAGTACAATCATTGATTATCAGATGCTTCATTGTTTCTTTTTTTCATTATTTTGCGTCATCTTTAATTTTGCTTTTTTTCATCATGAAAAAAAAAAAATTTTCTTAGCATATTTTTACATATTAATTATTTGATTAAGTTTGTGTAATATTCATATTGACAAACAAAGAAAACAAACATGTTCTTTTGTTCTTCGAAAAATCTAAATCAAATATGAAGCATTAGAATCATTTCATCTAGTATAGAAAGATCAACAAATGAGAAATTTAAATAATATCGATTGAAAAATAAAAATGAACAAAAGTAATGTTTAAAAAAAAGAAATTTTAATATTAAAAATCAACATACTTAAGATAAATTTATATTAAATCTTCTCTGATCTCTTCTGAATATCTTAATGTATCCAATCATATTGAGATTTAGTTTTTCTCAAAAAGATTTATATATGCAGATGCTTAAAACAACTGAGTTATTTATACTATATACAAATAATGATATGACTTGAGCGCCTTTATATATTTTTGTGATTCCTATATTTTTTTTTTGTGTCTGTTTCTGATATATTACTGTTCTCGATTAACACATGTCGTGTAAGAATGGTACGAAATATATAGAAGGCAAATGTCTTGAATCACATCGTAATAAATTAGACAAATTTATAAAAGATTGTCAAGGTGGTATTGTGACATTACCAGAACATCAATTTAATTGTCCATCATGTGTTAAGTATGACAAATCACCTTGTCAAATTCCTTCATGGGTTAAACCTCCATGTGATGGTTTGTCGACAAATTAATCTTAAGTTTTATCTAGTCTTTTTGTTTTTTTTTAAATAGGTGTAAAATGTTTTAATTGTCCACCGAAATATCTATGTTTTGATACAAATTCTTGTCATTTTGTAAACATTGATGAAGAAATTAAGCAAAAATCGAACTGATAATCGATATATCCAGTTTTTTGTTATTTGGAAATGATGTAGAAGAAAATTAATTAACATGTTGAAAAATGCTTGAACGTATGAAAGATCAAGTGTACTATTTCATTTTATGAATGTGATGAAGAAAATTAAATTATATCGATTGATATAGAATTGATTATATAAGTTTATGCAATCATTGATTCAGAGGCGACGGAGTGCTTTTATTTTCGTAAATGAGACAAGGCTCAGTGGAAGTTTATTTATTATCCTAAGCAAATGTTTTAACATATTATCTTAACATAGAAATGAGTAAAGTTCACATAAGAATATGTTTGAAATTATTTAGTTTTGTGAGTGAACTTGAAGATGTTGAAATTTTTGATTTTTTTGAAAAATATTCAAGAATTGATTTAGCGGATTGTTTCGATGACATTTATTGATTATAATCTAGAATATGCACAATGATACTATGCTCGAAAGGAAAACACTATTTATTTGATTAGATATGCATTAACATAAAAATCATATTTAGAACGTGAAGGATGTTATCATAATCTTCTATTGTCCCTATAGATTCATAAAATATGAGAGCTAGAAATTTAGATAAGTATAAAAATAAACTACATTCTGATTATATTTCATTATTACAGTTGTGTTTTCATTCAATAAAAGATATTTGCATAATAACATAGATAGGATGGGGCTTTATTGTCATCTCTTATTTTCAATTTTCTTCATACAATTAATTATAATAGATATAAAATGAAAGGACTAGTGGCATTAAGGCTGCTATTCAGCCCAAAATATTGACAAGAAATAATCATAAAAGAATAAAAAGTTCGGTACGACCTACATATTTGGCGTAGTCATTTTTTATTGAAATGAGAATAGTGACGGGATTTCGAAAAAATTTTTTAAATTTACTTTTTTAAAAGTAGTGATGACTATGAGATCAACTACATGGGTCATGAATATCGTTATCTCAAAAATTCAAAAACTGTAGCTCTGAAGAACAAAACAATTTTTACTTATATCCAGATTTTACAGTCTAAACCGGATTATTCTTCTTGAATTCGAGAAATGGGATACTATTAATTATAAATAGATGCTATTCATTGTTTGATTGATTTTTTCCAATCAATATGGAGATCATAAAAATGTTTGAAATTCAAAAGACTAAAGACGTTTTCGTAGGAAACGCTATTGAGAGAGCTTAAAAATTTTGTTTCACTATATCATACCTTTGTATAGAAAAAACCATTAGGACAGAGAACGAATATTTGATTTTATGAAACACTACTAATCAACATAGAAGTAATCTGAATTTCATCTTTCTTTTTTTCGTTGTTTATCACATGATTAACAGTTAAGAAAAAACAATATTTTGTCTTTATCAGTGTAAATCTAAGACTAGAATGAAAACACGATTCTTCCTAATATTATAATTATGAATTATAACAAATAAACTTAATAATATTCTAATCTCCATTTTCGTTTATTCATAACTTATTTCGTACTGTGCCTTATATGTCTGTCTTGTTGTTCTAATTGTTGAACAAAGGATTGAAAGATCTTTTTAAATATATTATGTCAAATAAATATACAAGATATTTTATTCATTACATCTGAGATCTATAATTGTATAATTATGACAATGAAAACAAAAGATTTTTCGAAGCACACATCAATAAACTAGAGTACATATCGCGATAATTATCAATGAAAATGACGCAAAAATCATGCTCATCACAACAGAAATCATCTCTACTGATGTGTACCTTGAGTAATATCGGTGAAAATGCTAGTATTCATGCAATTACAATTGGTCTTGACCTTCAACAGTATCAATACATATAAAGATATAAGTCAATCGACCGAACCATCGCCAACTTTTGCAAAATATTTCTAATATCTCAATAATTACCGCCGATATAACAAAAAAATAAAATAAACACTATAGTTTGAACAATTTTTAATCACTACCCATGTAAACAAGTAAATGTTCAATTGAGGTTTCAACGTATTCAGATGGAAAAATGAAGAAAAAAAACGCACTATGACTCATTCATATGATGAATCGAAAATTGAACTCATTAAAATGGTTTTTTTCGGATAAATAAACCGATTTTAACGCAATTACTAGACAAAAAGTAATCATTTGATACGTTTTAATGCATTTCTATATATCAATTAGAATCAATAAACAATTCATCGTTTATAGCATAGTATCACGCGATTATAAGGTATCAGTTGTTATGACTCTATCTTTACTAAGAAATGATGATAGCATAGTAGAGCCCTCGTATAAAAGTTCTCCAAAATATTAACTACTATTACATGATTTAGAAGTGGTAGTTCGAATGATAATCGTTGTGTCGCATTGATAGAAATGTTTGGAAGTAAAAACAAGAATTAAAACTATTTTTCATGCTTATTGTCTTGTAATAGAGCGCATTGAAATGAAAACGATTTTCTATGTTCGTTTTGAAACATGTGCATCAGCAAGGCAAAGGAAATAACACTTATTCGGTTACTGTTGCATCCGATGTTATTACTAAAACTTTTTGAAAAGTTTAATAAAAAAAACATGAACAACGATGTTGTGATTTCTTAGTACTGTTTGAGACAATATCATGTAGAACTTAACATTTAATTTGAAATATGTAAGTACAATAATTTATCTCTGCTCTTATGGATTTGTCGCTATCTTATAGAAGAATAATAAGTTATGCAATCATTTCAGAATTGTTTGTACCATTCTAGGACATTTTGAGATAATATGAACCGATAGCTTCATGATAGATTGATTTTACATCAGTCGTGGAAAAAAAGTATGTCGATAATGCTAGGAGTGCGTCAACAAAAATCAATCCGACACTTTTCGAAGTGTAATCCGAGCCCACACGCCCTTGGATCGGATTGAGTTGCAAGACTATAGTATGGATTCTGGCATGAATGTGGATGTCAGTCTTCTGCTCACACTGACATCCTATCCGAAATCTTCAATCATGCACTCACACCCACATCCTAAACTATTCTAACTCTCGATTATGCTTGATAATAATAGTCTTAAATAAAATAAAAAATTATCAATATCATGTTTCGTTGTTATTTATTCATCATGCGCAGATAACGCTATGTCATAAATCACTCAATGATGAATAATGACTAGTAATATTTTTGTTGGTAATAAATATGTACTTTATCAAAGATAATTGATTATAGTATCAATGGCTAATATCAATAGACATACACTGTTTAAAAAATATTGTATAATTTCCTTCCTTGCCCGCAATAGAAGATTCTGAGTCTTCTATTGTGTCTCATTTATTTTTATAATTTTTTTTTAAACTTGTTTTAAGAAAGTCAAAATGATTGTAAGGAATTTGAGAAGAGATTTTTAAAATTTTAACAATTCACAAAAAAAAAATGTTGATCTTGATCTTTTTACGATTCTTTCAGCTCCATACTCTGAAAACTAAGAATTACTGTAAAAAGCTTGACACAAAAATCGAACACGAAAATTTTAATTTCGAAAGTATTGAATAAGATAAGATTTCGAAAATCGAATCTCGACAGATGTTCTTTCGTTCTATTGCCGCTTAGCTTGTCTGACGTAAACATTCTACCAACCGAATTTTTTCTTTCATTTTTTCGTCCACCCATTCAGAAGAATGTGAGTGTGGGTGTGTGAAAAAACTATTCAAACCGGCATCCACACTCACTAATACTCACATCTACGTACTCAAATGATTAATAAATTATTAATCGTATTATGATTCTGCTATTTCGTTACTTCATTGTCATGAATTTTTAAAATAAAATATTGAGTACTACCAACAGATATTAGTTGATATATGACATCGATGTCATACGCTGCAAATTGTTCGAGATTTTTTTTCTTTCGTAATCTTGTTTTTTTGAAATTTCGACTTTTTATTTTTTTTTTCGAACTGTTTACATAAAGCCGAAATTATTCATTTTTAATACAGATATACCAATTTTAGTTTAAACTTTTCGAAAAAAATCAATAAATTAAAAGGATTCTTTCATTGCGTCCGATGTTTTTTCCCCCCTTCAAAAAAGAAATCTTCGATTGTGGGTGAGCGATTAAGAAATGATTATCAATAAGTATAACTTTCAAAAATATTTTTGTGGAGAAAAATAATGATTCACAATTATTCCTAAATTAATAAACTGATAACATCTCTGTGATAAAATATCTATTTGACTTGATATTTCAATATACATTTTGATGTCAAGATGAAAATAGGTCAATTTATATTTTCTTGATTATATTTATATTAAAATATACATGCCGTATTTTTTATTTTTTACAAAAGTCGCTAGAATACATCAAAGTTGTATGATTACTATTAACAATTTGTCGATAGATATGCATGTACTTGACATATAAGAATAGTTGAATATACGATTTCTTTACTATTCTATACAAAAAACATACAGTATTTGACATACACATATTCATTCCGAAAAAAATACATAAATAGATAAATAAATATACAAAACACATCCTTGTAAAAAGAAAAATAAGTTTAACTAAGCCTTGGTAAGCAATTGTTCATATTGCGTTAATTGTCCAAGAAAATTTAAATTTGGATTAACTATAGCTCGTTTAGTTTTTACAATATGATGAGCTTGTTCAAATGTTTTCGAATGATATTTCATTAAATAACCAATAATAAATGATGGACTACGACTAACACCACCTTGACAATGTACAAGAATATTTTTATTCATTGATAATTTTTGATGAATATATTCAAATGTTGTTTCAAAATATTGAAGAATATTTTGATATGATGAATCATGACAAGGTAAACGAAGATATTCAAATATATTTTCATTTTCAAAATAACATGGAATTGTTGTGGATACATTAACTACGACTTTTATTTGATGTTCTTGTAATGAATTGAGATTTTCAGCATCATGTGAACTACCGAGATAAAGACCAGGTATGATTTCAGATAATTGATAAGATTCAATATCTGTTGATACAATTGTTGATGTTGATGGTGATGAAATATCTTCATCTGTTGATGTACTAATATAACAAAATGATGAATAATTTTGATAAAATTCATTAAATGGTGATTCAAGAATATAAATTATTTTATTTGTATCATATCGTTTTATTTCATCGTAAACACATTTCATTGATGATGAAAGTTGAGATTTTATTGATGAACTAGCACATGATGATGGTGAACGAATAGAATCATCATATAAAATAATAATTTCATTATTATTTAAATAATTTAATTGATTACTATCTAAGAAATTTTGTAAACCACGAGTCGTTAGACGTTTTCGAGATATTTTATCATTAACATTTAATAAAATTGAACCTTGAATTCGTTTTTCAGTATGTCGTAATGGTGAACCACAATCAATAATTAATATTTTATGATTAGTAGTATTTTTAATAGTTGTCATATAAGCAACTAATTGAGAACATGTTAAAAATACTGAATTAAGATTTTTATCAATTTCATCATTATTAACAATTACAGTCTTTTGTGGACATACAATCATGTTTTTTTCTAATGATGTTGTTGTTGTTGTTGTTTTTGATAAAGTTTGCAAAAAAGGTATATGTGTTTGTGTCGATGAAATGCTTCTTATATAGTCGAAGGTAGAATGAATAAGGCTTTTACGACGTAATAATAGCCCAGGTGAAGAACGTTGTATCCTACGATGGTGATATTTGTTTATTGATTCATGGGCAAATAACTCTATTGGTTAAAAAAGAAATTAAAAAAAAAGTATAGTATGAGGCAATGCATTATATGTGGGCGGTAGAAGGTAGGAGAATGAAGGAGAAAGTGTCAAAGATAGCAAACATCAAAGTTTATAGTTGTTTTCCCTTTGCTAGATTCTTTACATGACGCAATTACCTGTTTTTATTCTTTTCTTTGCCTCATTTTTATGATCAGAATATTCTACAGCGCATGTGTAACAATCATTCTGTTCGCTTAAAAGTCGTTTTCGACTTGACATTGATGCCATTTTAAAATCGTATGGTGTCATATGAAGTGTCTGCGGATAAACAATTGATAGTAATTGCGTCGAAGATTGCTGCGCAAAACATGAGACCATGATGTAATAAATAGAAATCTAAAGAGAAATATAAAATATTCATTCATTTATATATCGAAGAACCACAATACACCTCTTCTTTTTTCTTCTTCTACTATAGGAAAAAATGGTCGACATGAAACCATAATGAAATAACAACATTACTCATATTGTTTCCTTTCTTGTTGCTAAACAGCAAGGAAAAACTGAGAAACAAATCAGACGTGCATGTTATTCATAGATTTAATTATATAACTTCAGTCACAATTCTTATCATTTTAATAAATAGTGATAGGAATAAAATAAACTGAATAAAGACTAAAAATCATTATGTAACAACATATCATATGAGAAACTAACTCAAGTTAGAAAGATGAATATATACAAAAGTTTTCATTAAATTTTATCTTCAACATATAGATGGAAAAATAAAGAAATATTCAAATTCATCGATCCATTTATATATTCTTCTTAAAAATGCACTGATATTAATGATGACGTAAGAGAAAAAGAAAACGTGATGTATTTATCGAATGTGACCTGTATGACACATAACTTAGTGTACTTTATATGTACTTCAAAGTTGTCAATGACAGCATAATTATTGTCGTATATGAATGATATATATATTTTTCCCTTTTCTTTTGCATAATAGGATTTTGTAAATGCATTTTAGATAAATAGAGAAAGTCAGGCATTATTTTTATTTGAATATTATTCACTAAGTAGAATCGATACAAGAAGAAATAATATTTACATATGAATGCTTCGTTTTTTTTTCTTTTGAATTTTGAAAATTGAGATCAAAATCAAATAATTATAAATATTTTTATTTTTCTCTCAAGTAATTTATTGAAAAAAGGAATAAAAAAAATTCTTATTTTTGAATTTATAATCATAGATGTATGTTGAAGGTTGAAGAAATACAAAATCAGCAATGTTTTTATTAAAAATCTGAATAAGAAATTTTTTTTTGTCTTTGAAAACTCAAAATAAAAACAAAACCTAAGAATAATATTTAACATAATCTCATACTTAAATCAAAGAAATTTATTCTTAAAAATTTTCAAAAGGAAACTACTGCCACCTTTTGACGTGATGAAGAAACGCCGCAACAACAGCAGAAAAAAAAAGAAAAATGAAACAGATCTATTTATTTTACTTAGCAACAAAATACAGACATACATTTTTGTGATTAATGGCTGCATCTCATAATCGACCATCAGCAAAATTATGTCCAAAAACGATTGATCTATTTTCAACTTCAAATTCAACGAGTAATTCTCCATTTTTAAATGCATTTACATCAGGACGAATTCCTTGTCGTCTTGTACATGGTTCAGTTCGAAATCGTTTAGCTTGGAATACATCAATTGATGATCTTAATTATGATCCTGTACTTGTTTTATTAGCTGAAGGTTTACGTGAAACAGCACATCCATTACCATTTATAAGTCGACAAGGTTTTACAGAACTTATGTCAAATATAAATGCACGACAAAAAGTTATACCAATTTTACCAAAATTAATTAATCCAATTAAATTAGCATTAAGTTCAAATGATGATGAAGTATTTGAAGGAGCTTTAAATGCATTAATACAATTAAGTACAGTAGTTGGAAATGAATTAGATAAATATTTAAAAACTTATTTAAGTATTGTAAGTATTAGAGAGAATATTTATTATCAATAATATCTTCTTCTTCTTCTTGCTTATGTTTTAGTTAGCAAAACGAATGTCTAATCGAAAATATCGTGATTCAGTAACAAATGCATTGAATATTTTTGAAGAAAATGGTGAAAAAGTAAAGAAATTTATTTCTTTATTTTATGATATGATGCTTCTTTCTTTTTTTTTTAAGGATATTTTACCGGTGATTAAATCAAAAATACCTACTTATTGTAGTGTACACATTTAAAAAAATTTCTTCTGTTTGTGCCTATTTGATATATGTTGTGATAATTCATATGGTGTATAATAAGATCAATAAATTTAAAATATATTTATTATTTTTTTGAAGATTTTTAAATTGAGAAAACAACTACAAGTTATATAAAATAGCTTGAATTATATCTTTCGAATCTGATAATATGTTTGTAAATATGAATGGTAATACAATTGAATAAATCGCATTTCAAAAATTTTGATACAATGATTTATTAGGCTATCATGAATTTGTTCATCCTGTTAAGAAGAATAATACATTGTAAAATCTTTTGCAGTTTTGTTAGAACTTTGGCTTTAGTATACATAGATAATATGAATCGATAGTTTTATGACACATTAATTTTTATATCAATCGTGAAAAGTATACAGAGAACGGAAGATTAGACGTGTCGAAATTTTCTATGATCATTATTTAGTATAGCTATTCATGAATAATTCATCCATAAAA